GGAGTGCCCTGCCTCGTCCCCTGCCAGCTTTCCCCAACAGCCTGCAAAAACATTGAGTGCTGTCTTGGGCAGAATGGGCCCCGCAATCGCATACTTCAGATGTTCTTCCAAGCTCTGTAAAAACAAAGGTCCACACCCACATCTGGTGCGACATCTGCTTGCAGGAAAACACGTCTAGTGGTAGGAATGCCATTAAATTGTTTTGAAAACTGATTTAGTTGGCTTGCCTGACTTAAATAAAGCATGAAAAAAGATACTCTATGGGGTGGCTTACACATTTTGCATATTAACAGATGTGCCCAAGGCTCAGGGAGATCAGAAGGTTGTAATAAAACTCCTACATGTTTGCGATGGCCTTCAAGTATCTGTTAATCAGCAGGAGACTGTTGTCCTTCCTCAGGGGTCTGGTTCACTAAACAACTCCGCTCTGTACCACAGGTTATGTCACCTACTTACAGCAATAATTTGTTTTTTTATGCTAAGTTCTTCATGCTTGTCAGGTGTAGTTTTATGACTTCACCTTCAGAAAGTAAAGCCCTTTTGTCTCTGCAGCCCCCATCCATTTGGAAAGTTGAAGAAAAGCCTCAGCCAGTGCTCAGAGACCCTCCCTGCCCCAGACTCTCTGCTCAAACACTGCACCAGCTTCAACTCCAGAGCTGTATCATCCTTTTTTCTACATACCACATCCTCAAATTATGGGTCAAGCTCCAGAAAAAAAAAATAGTAGCTGAAAGACAGCTTTAAAAAATACAGGATCTTAAAATTTGAAATTGCTCCAAGTAGGAGTCATCATACTTATACTCAGCTTCTCATCAGAAGCACAACCTTACATGAACAAACATGTTTCATGTCATTTAAGATGCAGCCTAGAATAAATCAGATCGTTTTGTTCTTCTTGGAACATCTTTATGAGACTGCAGGTGCTCTTCTTTTTGCTGCGGGGGGGTTGGACTAGATGACCTCTAGGGGTCCCTTCCAACCCAAAACTTTCTATGATTCTATGATTCTAAGTTTCAAGGTGATTGAAATTTTGAGAGGTTGGCTCTGCCCACCAGACTACCTCACCAGACTAACTGCTGCTAGGGGTGAACTGTTAAGGTTTTTGGCATCAACATAATCAATAATTCTATCATCAATAATTTCCAGCAGTAGGCCTAATTCAACCCCTAACCTACAGCGCACTCCCAACTTTCAGCAGCCCAGTGAGTGGTGTACCTGATTGCATTTTCCTTGCCTCCTTTTTCTTGCGCCCTTACAGCCCCAAAGGAGCTGCCAGACCCCCAGCAAGGGAAGCCGCTGCAGATCAGTCGCTGCTGGCTCCCACTGAGTTTCAAGCTTCAGTTCTTGCCTGGCAGAAACCAGGAGACCTAGCATTTCAGAGAGGTAAGGTACTGTGCCTCCCACCATGGCTGCGGTTCCTGGTGTCAGCCGCGTTTGAGACTGAGCAGACCCAGGAGCTGTGAATGTTCCCTGGGGATGCTGCGGCCTCCCAGCACCGCCAGGTGCCATTCCAAATGGGCATCCCTGAGCCCCTGGCCCTCCATCACAGGTTGCTTAACATCATTCTTCCCAATAAAACTTTCCTGGATCCACGCTTCTTCATTCATTAGTTTTTTTTTGTTTGGGTTTTTTTCCCAAGTGTAGTAATTTTATAGATTAAAATTGTATAGGAAAACATTTTTGGAAACTTATTCAAATAGAAACAATTTGAAATTGTTTTTTTGCAGTAGAGAGAAGGACAACAGACATGAAGATGCACCAGATGGGTAATGCTTAGTAAAGTTTATTTGAATAAGAGGGCTGGTAAGGTAAGCAAGCAAGCAATTTACCAGTAAATACCAATCTGATTTGTCTGTTGCTTTTGAAATACTCCACGCTAATTTGATTACAGTAGCTTCCTAAATTACTGTCTTCTCTCAGTAACTGCTGATCGTCCCACACCTCTCATTTTGATAGACGACTTTCCCTTTAACTATAACATAGTCAATCAACGCTTCGTGTCCCCCAAATTGGTAAATCAAGTGCTCCCACCTAAAAAGACAAGAAGAGGTTTAAGAATATCCACACATGCATAAAAGCAGGTCACATACCTAGTATACCTGGCAATTATAAAAGATTTGCTTGAACCATCAGAAAACACTATTCCATGTTTACATGTTGATCTCTTGTTGCATGAACACAGTGAGTTAACATACAAATCAGTAGAGAATTCCTTCCACAAAATAAACAGGTATTATTTTTCAATAATTTCTAATTAGGCATGGATTATTTGTAATATTAGCCCCCAAAGTTTTAAGCTTTATTTTCCACTGGTGTGATTAAGGAGAATGAAAGTGAGTCCAAAATGCTAGCAGTGTCCCTTTTTTTCAGATGAAAGTAACTTCTAAATCATGAGGAATTCACCAACACAATATGGTGAAAACCAAAATGTCCCTTATATTAAATCACATTTCAAACGACAATGGAAGAACAAACCTTGGTGAATTTATGATAACAAGATCCCCCTGCTTGCCAGTCTCAATGGAGCCATGCGTGTCCGATTTTCCCAGAGCATAAGCTGCATTAATGGTGGCAGCTGCCAGTGCTTCATTCATTGACATCTTCATGTTTACGCAGGCCAGATGCATCACCATAGGCTAGCAGGCAAGTAAAGTGGAAAATGGGAGTTCCCAGTAACACAAATAGAAGTTCATGCCTCAAACCCCCAAGCACTCTCCTCCCTCCTCGTGCAACAGAAGGAGTTGTCCTGCCTAATGTAAATCTTGCCAACTCCAAAATGAGAACTCTAAAATCAGGAAATTTGAGAGCCTTCTTTACAAGCGTTTCAGCGTGTACGAAGAATAGAACCCCTTCTGGTTTCAAGAACTTCTGGTAAAAAGTACCAACCCACATAAACATGTGTGAGCAATTGTCTAAGCTGGGCATAGAGCTCTCTTTGCAGATACGAAGACTGTTTTAAGGGCACAAGATCTATACACAAGTTGTACTGGTAAGACATTTCATCATTTTGTGGTGTCATAAGTATTAGGAATAGCTTACCATTGAAAAACAGTATGCATTAGGATTAAAGTCACTGCCAAGCGCAACTATAACTCCTTCTTCTAACATTTTTCTAGCTTGAGGTTGCTTCAGTCTAGTGGGAAAAAGACGCTTGTCAGTACAATTTGCTTAGTTATTACATGATGGTTTACAAGAGCAAAAGTCAACACTCGGTTTGGCTACATTCATGCATTCAGTTACACTAATGCTTTTGGAGACGAAAGCCAAAATTCCCTTCTTGGCTCCCTGCCTATCACCCTACGGACAGCAGAAGTGGGAAGCGTGATCCACTGCTTCTGCTGTAACAGCCTGTGACAGCAGCCAGTATCGAGTGTCAGGCTCCAGACCACTGAAATTCTGGTATTTATCCAGACCTCAGCCACTTCAGGATTTACAAGGTTAAAACCTTCATCTCTCAAAAAAGTAATTTTCTAGTCCTTATAGGTTCAAAGACAGGCTCCCAAACACGAGCAACGGCATAAGCAATGCAGTAGTCCCTTCCCAATTCTGCCGGCAATTTGAAAGAGTAAGTTGGGGCTGGGAATTGAATTTGTGTACACTGGAGGTTTTTCTGACTTTGCAATGTTAATGCAAAAGACATATTCAATACCTTCAATATCTGGAATAGCCATTTCAAAATTGTTTGGTCGCTCGGTTAATCTTGGTGGGTGTTTGCAAGGGTGGGCACTGGGAAATGCGCTCTCTAAGTTTTAGCCACAGTTGCTGCAAAGCCAATAGCAGCAAACATCGTGTCCAAACCAGTGTAACAATAAAAATAAAACACTAGAGCATCTGCTGCTCAAAAAGTACTTTTAAAAGCACTGCAGTTAACAGAAAAGAATAAATCACATCTCGATTAAGTGCTTACATTTGGTATAAGACAACCCTCTCCCTATAGAAGACTCTTAGCAGATTTATGGGATAATACCACCTGCTCCTGCACAACACAATGCTCTGGGAGTTAACTGCATTTAAAAATATTGTCTCAAGACCCTTTCCCCATCCTTGCGTGTCCTTCCAGCCTCTGCATCCCCTGCTGTGCCCTGCTGCCAGACTCCTACTTGGGAGTACTGCAGGCAACGGTTAGCAAAATGCGAGTGTGCTTACCATTGTGCAGCTCTCCAGCTGCACTCTTTGGCCTGTTTCTGGCCATCAGGTGCAGCCCTGGCCGCTGCTGCTTTTCTTCAAACCAGGGGACAGTATAGGGGCAGGACCTCCCGAGGTCTGAGCTCTCCAGGTGGTACTGAAGGGGCTGGAGGAGGCCAGCGAAGGATGTACCACATCCACTCATAGCAGCTTCTCATACATTGCCCAGCTTTTGGCCCTCTAATACTCTTTGATGCAGTTCTCTGTTATAGCTCTTCTTCATTTTTAGAGTGTATTAGACTGGGAGGATGCGTTCAGTAAATAGTGCACCAGACACCGGAACAAATGAGGCTTCACGTCCTACAGCTTGTTATTATCTCCATCTGAGACTGGTCCTGAGGTTACAGACTTTCCACAGCACGGAGTCTCTGGAGTAACACGTGAGTTACAGCACAGCCTTTTCCACAGGTGGCTGTGTCTCTGTTGTCTCCTTTACTTCCCTGCCTGGGGTCAGTCTGCAGGACCACATGTCCTCCCAGAGATCTGTGCTCCAGCGGAGCATTTAGTTGCCATCAGCCAGCGGCTCAAAAGCACCCACACAGGACACGGACAGCTAACCACAAGCAGAGGCACAAGCATGGACAAAGAAGTGAGCACAGGTGGCAACGCCACAAGCCTCGATGCCTCGGAAAGTGGGCTGCTGAAAATAAACCAAAATCAGCTGAAGGATCTCTTCACAGTAGGGAAGGTATTATTGGGTCATTGTCCTCATCACCTAGTTGGCTTACTTTTGGCATTAGGGGTAAGCAGGTGATCCATCTACGCTTATCTGGAACATCTGCATATGGAAAATAGTGTTCTTGCTTAAGGCAGTTCTGCTCAGTGTCACCTGGGTAAAATCAGATGAGATTTTTAGAATGCTACCCGCAGTCTTTCAGCTCTTTGGATAACCAAAGGATTCACGTCACAGAAAAACCTTCTGCAAGAGAGCAAATACATATATTGCAGACATAATTTGCCTGAAAAGAAGCCAACTTGGTTTTCAAAGCATAAATGGATTAAAGAAAACCAGTCCAGTTTTCTTCTTAAATGAATCCCTGATTATTACCTTAGCCTGTCACAAGGGTTAAATTCCAGTGTTGTCTGAGCCCCTCTAAACCTACTGTGAGACTTCTCAGAAGTAGGGTATTGCCTCATTTTTGAGGATCTCCACCAGAAACAAGACATAAGGAGGCTCATTCAGCTCTTTGTATTTGTGACTGTCTTCACTGATCCGGCCTGATCCCTAAGGCACAGATGCGAGCTTACGCTTTTGTATTCAAAGACCCTAAAAGCACAGACACGGATTTGCTGTTACACAAGTTTCCCTCCAATCTAGTGGCCTTACCTTAGCATGTAGGCAGTCGTCGGTAAAAGGACAGCAGCGCAGTTGGCTCTTGCCATCGCTCTGATACCTTCCTCACTAACTTCTTCCAGGTGGCTGATGGCCCGGGCTCCTAGTTCAGCTCCAAGCTGAGCAAATTTTCAAGAAAATTACCCACCCTTCTCAATTAATTCAGTAAAGCAATGTTGTTTTCAAATGACTGGAGGAGACAATTCACTATTAATGTAAAATTTACTAAAAGAAAATTCATAAAGAGTGCTTGAATGAACAAATAGAATACAGAGGCAAAATATTTGCTGATTTACTGCAGGAAAAGTCGATCAACAAAAAGGTATTAACCATCCACCAAGTGGAAGTGTACCTTCAGTGGTGTTTTTAACAGATGAACATGCCAACTACGGGACAGCTATGAATAAAATCATTATCAAGTCCTGTTCACAAAGTATCCAGCAGAAAAGGATTGACAAAACTGACACTGGTTGCAGAACTAGTAGTGTAGCTGCTGCCTTTGATGGTGAAGCACCAAAAAGGCTTTTATGATCAGTCAAGTTTTTGATTTGGTTTGTTATTTTTTTTAAATACAGGAGAGAATAACCAGAGCAGACCTCACAGGAAGGAAGCAATGTTTAAATAATGGTGAAACACGGTCTCAGAGTGACTTTCTTTACCACGACATTTCAGAGCCTGTTCTTGACTAAACCACCCCTCTGAGTGTGCTCTCTGCACATCTGACCTGTTGCTGCTAACAGGACATTTAAAGGAAAGAGATTTTTCAAGTTGCATAGAAACCACGTTTCTATCATTCTTGGGTTCACGGATATCCACCTTCCCCATCTGCATCCCATGTGGAAGATAAACAAAGTCAATGTTAGATTAGGCAGTGCCCGTTAGTCCCAGAGGTCAAGGCTTCCTCCCGTGTCCTTAAGCCCAAAGCTGCACACGGGCTGCACGTTCTACCCTCTGACAGAAACAGATGTCTGTGAACGGGCTATTTTACAAGTCGGAGAAGAGAAAACCTCGATTTTGAAAACTGCAATTCTTTCACAGATTCAGCTCGCACAAGAGCAAAAATGGCTTAACTGAATGTTAAGGAAGACGTACCTCAGCAGCTTTCATCGGATGGAGTTCATCACCATGGAAGTTCATCTGTAACCCTGTATCTTTTCCAGCTTGAAGAATTCTCCGAGTAGTCTCCAGGTCAAAGACTCCCTTCTCACAGAACACATCTATATTGTCAACATCTATTTCACCACTGAGTTTGAGTTCTTTCAGTTTAGGGAGATGGTTATTGATAATGTCATCTGCGGCTTCAGTAGCAGTTTTCCCTCTAATGAAAAGAAAACATTACGGAGCCATAAGAATAACATCCTGGAAGTCTGGCAAACATTCAAATGATACACGCAATTACCAGATTATTTAGAAAATGATGCAAATACAAATCACTCAAAAACTCTTCAGATTAAAAAATTTATTCATGCACACTCAAACTTGAGTTACTTTCCATTCAGAGAATATTAGATTGTATTACTATATACTTTTTATAAGGTTGGCATCTTGGATGCTAACCAAGATATGGGATATTTTAAAACAAATTCTTCTGCTTTCCTATTCACATATTCTGACCTCCTTATACTGCATTGTACTGCGCAACTATTTAAAATGTGTAAATGATTATTTAAATATGTTAAATGGTATTCATGCAATATTTTTCATGCAAACACCAATGCTCAAAGGGGATGTGCAGCACAAATCATTATTTTAAATTTAACTCTCCTCCCTTTATATCATTCAGCGTGATAGCTAGGTAACTCTTTCTAAACCAGACGGGCATCCTGAGGTTCGATTTGCTAAAGTCAGAACCATTTACGAACCTCCTATTACACAAAGATAACCCAGGAGAGATCAGTAAATGCCACTGAAAGAGCAAACAATCCCAAAACATGCAGCTGAGTTAGTTTGCAATTTTAAGATCTAAAGACAAGTAATGTACTGCAGCTACACGTCTGTGACATCTCAGTCCTCATTTCAGGCACTGTAAAGCGTGCACAGACCGGCATTATACAAGTGCCACGTGTGGGCGAGTTGGGAGTTTTACAGTGGCAATAAATTCAAGAAGCCAAATTGTGCTCGGATTTATGAACGAGGTTGTGCGGTTATAAAGCGGAACAGAACCCGGCTTATGGTCCTTCTTTTGTTCACCTCTCACTGAAACAGTCGCTGGGGTTGCTCCGGCCTTTACCATGCCTTCTCCCTTTTCTTTTACTCTGCAGGCATTGGAGGAATTTGGATTGCAAGTCCAGAGTCAAGACAAAACAGAGAGAAACATAAGTCTGGGATATAATGTCCAAGATTCAAAACTGCCATTGTTCTAACGCAAGAGACTTCTGCTCAGGAAATCACTTTGAAAGTTTCTTCCTAAAGATGAAAAGGGCCCAGTGAATCTTTGCCAATTAAAAAAAAACATAAAAGCAATTAGAATCAGGCATCCTCAAAATCACGGATTTGATTCAACAGGATGACTGGAGGGATGACAGAGCAGTTATTTCTTTGCCTCCCCTGCTGTGAGCTTTTTAGGTTCATTTCCCACAGAACTGGAAGTTCTGAGGCTGGAAACATTTTAAAAAGCGATGGAGGGGAACAAGGATTACCAGTGGAGCTTTATTTTTGTCTTGGGTGGCTCAGACTAGAGCAGCCTGCACCGCCTGGCACATACTTCAGCGAGTGCTGCCTATTACTGACGCACTGCGCCATAGTCCCACAGAGTAACTGTGGTTGTAAGAACCTCCGGAGCTCATCTGATCCAACCCCTACTCTGGACCACAGGTTTGAATTGTGTCAATTTGAATCAATGGTGCCTTCTAGAAGCAGAAAATCGGGCTGCTACCTTCTACCTAGAAATCATGAGCAGATACATGCAGCGAGTCCTCAACATCTGCCCAAACCAGGTTTCCAGGTGGGGAAAAACGATCACCAGTGCTGGCAAGCCTGGAGGTAGGCTCCTCTTAAGGCTCCAGCACTTGAAGCTTTACAAGACTCGCCATGTATTGCAAGACTTGGCAAATTAGAAGACTTGACACCGTTACCAACTCAATGAACTTTCTGGTGATGCTTCTGCTGTAAGGGGCCAGGCTTGCTTGCAACAGTAAATTACGCCAAGTGTAAGAAGCAAGCAAGCAAGCAAATGGCTTAGCAAGAACTTAACAAAGCTCCACAGCAGCAGCCCCACGGCAGTCTAAGCAGCATTTTCCATGAGCAAGCATGACATTGCTCATTTCACATTAAATAGAATGACTTTAAATGGATTCAATGTTAGCAGATCAGCGGTAACAAATTTGCATAACTATGACCATTTCAAAACCATCAGAAGATTATTAGACTTTTAATGGCTATCTAGTCAAGAGTTGCCATTAAACACCTACAACAAAAAAGGGCATTACATTTTAAGACCTACATAAATCAAAAATATTTAAATAAAAATAGTTAAATCAATCTTACTCTTTCATTTCTTTGATTTATGCATAACTGAACTCCAGGGCAGTTTCATGGAATATAATGATGAAAGAAAACCTGCATGAGCTTAAGTGACTTGGAAGATGTCTGTTTAACAGCTTCTAGAATCCACAAGATCACCGTCTAATTTGCCTAAATAATATCAAAGAGCAATTCCCAGCCCCAAGCCTGCAGGCAACATGTTCCCCTCGCGATCCTCCTCTGTTACTGAAGCTGCAGGAAATTCAGAGTTTAAAACTGGAGCTCAACAAAGCAGGATGCTTCCCTCAGCATGTTACTGGCCCAGATGTTCAGGAGCCAGCCAAAGGCTGAGGACCACAGCTCTGAACATCAGGCCACGGATCAGGGAGGGACTGCGGAATTCCTCCTGGTCAAAATAAAAACCCGAGGCAAAGACTAAGTTTGAAGGATAGCAGAAAATTCAAGCAAAATATTCTAGACATGAACATTTGAATGAAAACAGAAGAGGATTTAAGTAGACTCAAACTGGAAAATACAGATAGTTCAGTATTTCCTCAGGAAATTTCATCAAATCCCCAACTATGTTTTCTCCTTACTTAAAATATAATATCATCACTACCTATATTTTGTTATGCTTGATGTGCATCAGTGGGGACAGAAACGTGCAGAGAGTGAGACGGTACACCTGTCTTTCTGACACAAAAGACTTGATATATCTGTTAAAACACTGGAATGTATTTCTTTAGTTCATAGAAATAATTGAAATCTTTTGGTGGGAAAGACTATTTATCGGGATTTTGACTGAAATCCTCCCAAAGCTTTTTAGAGGAGGACGAAAGGAAGGGCTAAGAAATACATATAGTTTGGGGTAAAAGCCCAATTTTATTTTACCATTAAGTCCTCCAAATTTTAGTAGAACTTCTTGAAAGAAATATTTGGTGTTTTCAGCAGATTTTAGTTACTTTATTCTTAACCACCTTCCAGTTACTGAAGATGATACAGGATTTCTTTTGAATAGTTACATTAATCAAAGACAATTTGCCATCCTGTCCCAAATACACAATAATTAGATTGCAAACAAATTTTTTCAGGTCATGTTTTCTTGCATTTTGGAAAAGGCAGATTTTTTTTAGTATTTTTTTCTTTTTTTTAATTAATATCTTTTAAGTATTGCCACAGTATCCATGCAATGCTAGGCCTGCCTCCATCTTACATGCCTTGTTTTGCAACAGCCTACTGCTTAGTCTGCCAAAATATATGTTACGCATACACCTACCTAGCTAAAACTCATTAATTCTTTCACACAATGAAATCTGGTAACTTGAAGAAGTTATTTTCATCATAGGGAAAAAAATGTCAATGTGAGAAAGCCTTGTTATGGTATGTCTACGTAAGCCATCAGAATAGTTGTGATTAAGCACATTTACTTTAATCTTCTACTCATCTCACACCCACAAGATGTCTGCAAATGTTCATTGCATGGAAGCATAATCAAGCTTTGTTTACTGAGGTATATAAGGATTAAATACAGTATTTTTTCCTGTTAGCTGGTCAAAATAAAAGCTCATGTCAGAGACTAGGCTTGAAGGGTAGCAGCAAACCCGAGCAGAAGAACTTTCTGCACAGAAACCCTGTCATCTGCGTGATGCTCAGTCAAGATGTCTGCAAATGTTCATTGCATGGAAGCATAATCAAGCTTTGTTTACTGAGGTATATAAGGATTAAATACAGTATTTTTTCCTGTTAGCTGGTCAAAATAAAAGCTCATGTCAGAGACTAGGCTTGAAGGGTAGCAGCAAACCCGAGCAGAAGAACTTTCTGCACAGAAACCCTGTCATCTGCGTGATGCTCAGTGCAAGCATCGGCTGGTTTTTTTTTGCCATAAAATAATGCTTCCCCATCTTCCTTCAGACTAAAAATTTAGGAGAGCCTTCTGTAAATACTGGCTCTTCTTTCAATATGTTGTATTTTAGGAGGGGTGGGCAGAAGAAACCTTTCTGAAAATAACAGGCAACCTTCAATGCAGAGCAGTAATACTTAACAAAGGCGAGAAAAGCCAAGTTGTATTACTTCGGCACAGAGTGAGCTCCACAGTACGTTGAAGAAATGCCAATATCCATGGATTGCTTAGCGCGTTCGATCACCCTGAGCATTTTAAGCTCTGTTTCTAAGTTTAAGCCATATCCACTCTTGCACTCCACCAACGTAGATCCTGCTCGGCGCATGCGTTCCAGTCGGTGTTTGAAAGTATTGAACAGCTCTTCTTCCGTGGCCTGACGAGTGTGTTCCACAGTAAAATGGATTCCTCCCCCAGCCTGGTGGATCTCCATGTAGGATGCACCTGCCAGCTTGGGGAAAAAAAGAAAACCAAAACCAACGCCCCCCCGGCCCATACAATTAGCTCCGAAATGTGCATTTTCTGTCCAAGGGATTCTGCAAAGTGCCTTGAGGTCTCTTTGCAGTGAGAGAGAAAAGGAGTGAGAGAAAAATCTCCATTAATTCTTCCTCCCTCCCTCTCCTCTTCTCCCTCACCTCCACTAAAGTGAAGAAAAGATGTAAGAAGTGACATAAAGAGAATTACCCTGAGGATTTGCTTCCCCCTGAGCCCAAGGGGAAAAAGTATCTCTAGCTCAAAAATTCACTCATGTGGAAAAAAAAAAAAAAAAAAATCCAGATTTAGGTGGTAATAGAAGGTGGCCCTCCTGTATTGCTTCAGTTGATACATAAATATATCAAGGCTGGCTACAAAGGCTGCAGTGACACTCCTGTCTCAGCCTACCAGTATTCTAAAATCAACCCTCCTCCCTCAGTTAGCTTATCTGACAGAAACCATAATCTTCTCCAAATGAAAGGTGGGAGTCAATAGCAAGTAGAAAAAGTTGTGCGCAGAAAAAGAGGAAGAGAAACCCAGCTGTGTAATTTGATGTCATTACCTTCATCGCAAACTCATGAACCCTGTCACCAGCCCACACTGGGTGTGTATGTGCATCTACCAGGCCTAAAAGAAACAGAGTAAATTACATTCAGGTTATTTCTCTACGTAAAAGAAAAGCTTAGGAACATGAAAGCAAATGAAATGGACAGCAGAAGCTCCCCTATAAAGCCTCTGTTGCTTAGAGAAAAAGAAAAATGCAGCCAGCCAGAAAGCTAGGATTCTCTTCAAAGGCTATTAATTTTCTTTCAAATTTTTTAGGTGTACTGGTGGACACCTTACACAAAACACCTCTAAGTAAATGTTTCAGTTGCTCAGTTTCTCATGTTGTTCTCATGATGTTTTCAAAGCATGGAAGAAGTGATAAATTACAAACTTTGAAGTAGTTCATTACACTTTCAGCCTGTGTTCTCTAAAAAAAGCAAAGAGCTTAGGCTGGGCTTAGTACGCTAGCACTTCTTCTAGCAATCGTCCACTTACTCCAGCAGGAGCTTTTTTGATGAGCTGCAAAACCAACACTGCCGAATGCCCAAGGCCACTGCCAACGAAACAGCGATCTGATGGCTCGTGTGCTAACACCACTTGCAAAGTTTAACATGCAGTAGGCTGGCCCGGGTTTATTTTTTAATCAGGTAAAGTTGCAGAGTATGCAACTTAAAATCCTGCGCTGCCCTTTTGCCCCCAGCCGGCTGCGGGCAGGGCAGAGGGACCGAGCTCCACGGCTGGACAGCTGATGGGCAGGGACGGGACGGAAAATAGAGGTGAATCTGAAAAGTCACTCGGCAGGCCAGCCGTGTTACTGCTGTGATCTGTGATTCAGAGCAACAGAGGAAACACAAAACAAGAGCTTGAGACAGAGCTCTACCATGAAGGAAAAAAAAAACCAATCCCAAACATGCCAAACGCTGACATTTTCTCCTTGCAACGCTCCTGCTGAGGAAGCTGCCATAGTCTGCCCCTCAACACAAGATATCATCAAACCAGTACTCAATATAGTGGAAAAAAGATAGAGGGATGTTTAATAGACATTTACTTTGTCTCTAAGCACCCGCTGCCATTCGTCATTGTACCGTTATGAAAAAATACACCTACCTGGTAACACACACTTCCCGGAGCAGTCAATTACTCTTTCAAACGTTGCTCCTGAAAACTGACTGCGAATAGCATCTGCCTGGCCCACGGCTTTGATACAACCATCTCTGCGGGCAGCAGACAACGACCAAAGTAAGCGTGAGGCTGTGGAGAAGCCAAGTGCCCACCGACGGAGCTCCTGGAGCAGCAACTCCCCGCGAGCAGGGGCAGGGACCTTCACCCGGACCGAAGGTGCGGGCAGGAGGTGGTTCGCGCATCTCACAGACTCACAGAAAACGATGGGGTAATACCATGCACTGCAAGGGGTTTGCCGTAACGCTTGTCTCGCCCTCTGCCTAGATCCCTCAGCACGATGCCTGGTTACTCGCTTGCTCTAACTTCTGCTAGGCAACGTGGTTTTTCTCTGGTGGACCAGCAGATAGACAGCATGCCTCCAGCAAGCACCTGCAGGGCAACTCTTCCCCTCGCAGAAATCCGTCACGGCCAGCCTCCACCGCCTGGACCCGCACCCGTGTGCCCTCGGAAGCCCCGGGGGCACATCCCCCTGGGGCCAGTC